ATATTCGAAATGACTACCAACAACTTAAAGACAAACTTAAAACTCAGGAGAAGATTTGTCAAGCTTTGGGTATAATGTTAAACTTGGTTGAGCACAACCCTGTAAAAGTGAACTCATATGTCATCGCACCTCGTGAAGTTTTGAAAGAACTATTGAAACTTTTGACAGAGGCAGACGATATAAACATCAAAGAAATAGAGCCCGACATTGCTTGCTGTGGTGTTTCATATAATGTCATTGACAAGATATACGTTATGAAAGGAGGTGAAACGTTGAACTTAAAATATAGTTTCCCAGACGTTATAAAAATATTTGACGACCACAACATTTCATTAAAGTTTGTTTGCTAAGTAAATGGCAGAAGACATAGTGGTTTATACTATTACGACTAAAAACCCTGAGTCATATAATTCTATAACAACAAACTTACAAAGTCCTCAAGGACGGTATTGTAAACTGACCTTAAACACAATGACGACTAAAGCCTGTTTTGCTCTTTTGACACCAGAAGACTTTGTTGTTGTGAATGGTAAAAAATACTTCTTTGAAGATACTTACTCAGATATACCACCAACAGGTTTTGTTGACTTATTTAATACTTTAAGGACGGATGTAACATGTGCTGCAACTAGAGCAGGTTTCATTATGTTTGGATGTCCGACTGAGTTTACTATAAACGATATGAGCTATAATACAAAACTTATTTCTGGTTTTTACTACCAACAGTTTCCTATAACAGGAAAAGGTGTCATACAAGGAATGTCTATTCCATTGACATTAAGCACACCTATTTTATATATTGTTTCAAACTTAGGTTCAAAGTGTTATTCGAATGTCGACAGAAACTACTATGACCAAAAGATACTCATGCGTATAAACAACACATTCTCTGCTGGTTTGCCTATTGTTCATTCGAATGCAGAATTTTCAGCTTTAGTAAACTCAAACACTTTAGCAAACATAAACTTAACCTTAGTTGACGCAAACTTTGTTCCTGTAAAACTTTTATGTCCTATGTATTTGTCAATGACGGCAGAAAGTTTCGAATTGGAAGATGCAACCGGTGAAAGTATTGTATTACAAGAACAACTTCAACAACAAATAGCTCAAGAACAACAAATGCAACAAATGCAACAACAAAGTCAAGAATAAAAAAAATATTTTTTTTATTTTTATAAAAATGTACAGAATAGATGTTTCAGATTTTTATGACTTCCAAGCATTCAGAAATATGTGTCCATTTCGAGACTATAACAAAGCAGTCGAGAATTTGAAACGTTTAGTCATTTATGTTGACTCTGCCCCAGAATGTTATGTCATGAAAGAATGGGATGTTGTCTTTAACAAACCTAAAGCGACAATAGTTTCAGAACAAGAATGTAGACAGAAACTTAAGAAAATAAAAGTCGTACAAGTTGGCATGAAGATGTTAGATGCTTGGGATATCTTATTGTCAAAGTTAGAAGATTTTTCAGTTCGAGGTATAAAGTTCTATACACCTTCTCCAAACTTCTATTCTATCTTCACTGGATATAAATATGAACAAGTAGAATGGAAAGAAAATATTATAGAAGCTTGGTTAGACCATGTCAAAGAAATTATATGCAATGGAAACGAAAGAGTCTATGAGTATATCTTATGTTGGTTTGCAAACATCTTACAACATCCAAGTGCTAAAAATGAAACTGCTCTCATTATAATTGGAAAACAAGGAACTGGTAAGAACACTTTCTTTACAGATATTTTGTGCAAACTGTTAGAGGGCTATTCGAACCCGAATATGACAAACTTAGAAAACATCTGTGGCAAGTTTAACTCCTCAATAGAGAATATGAAACTTATAGTATGTAACGAACTTCAAAGTATAGATACAACAAAAGTTTTGAACTCAGATGCTTTGAAGAGTCTTATAACAGACAAAGTTGGAGTTGTTGAAAGAAAGTATAAAGACCAAAGAGTTTGTGAAAATGTTGCAAATTTCATTATGGTTTCAAACAATGCTGTTCCGATGAAGTTAGAAAGTTCTGACAGAAGATATGTAGTTGTCAGAACGTCAGATTCTCATATGCAAGATACAGAATATTTTGACGACTTAGCAGAAACTTTGACATCTGACTTTTACAACCACTTGTTCTCATATTTCATGACATTAGATATTTCTAACTTCAATCCAAGACAAATTCCACATACCGAAGAAAGACAAACATTGTTAGAAGCAAACAAGAGTGTATATGAACTGTTTATAGATGAAAACGACTTTGAGTGTTTAGATGAAAGGTCATTGTACGATGAATATAAACAATATTGTCAAGAGTATGGTTATATGGCAGCGTCTAAACGAACATTCTTGGCAAATGTCAAAAATCTTTTAGATGTTCAGAACGGCGTATATACAAAGAAAAATTTTTCTGAGTAAATTTTAAAAAAATATTTTTTTATCCGATAGAAAAGATGACGAAATATATTTCAGTCAACAAATATATGTCAGGACTTAAAGAAGAACTAGACCCATTCGCTTATTTGAATGTTTACTTCTACCATTTTGAAAAGTCTTCATTCAGCAAAGTTTGGAACATCGAACCAGTTAAGTTTGCTATTGTGACTAAAAATGGTGCGAAATTTGAAGACTTAGACATAGAAGGTTTGTTAACAGTCAAGGAAAATTTTGACAGAAGGTTTTCAAACCTTAAAGAAGGCAAAGCATACAAACTTGTTATACCTTATGAACCAAAGAAGACAGACGACTATGAATATTATGAGTCTAAGATAGTTGAAGTTCAAGGTAAATTAGGTAAAAAGATTTTAGAGTCTAAGCCAGTGTTTGCTCCTAAAGGGAAAGAGAACATTGACATTGACCCAGAAATGTTCTAAAAATAAAATTTTATTTTTACATGTCATATCCACCTTCTCTGGAATTGGCTCTGGTTCTTTCTTTTCTCTCTTCTACTTTCTTTTTTTTCTCTCTCTTCTTCTTCTTCTTCTTCTGGTGGAGTTATGTTCAAATTTCTCAGAACCATATTTATGTAAAAGTTCTTTGTCCTTTAATAGCTCTTCTATTCTGTTTTCTATTTCATCTTCAAGAACAGCGCATGTGTCTTCTTTGCATTCTTAAGAACTTTTGTTGGACTTCATCTTTCCAATCGGCGTCATCTCTGTCAACAAGTCTGTCATTGACAATTTTAAGACTGCTCTTTGTAATGTTTTATGGTTCTTGTCATATTCCCAGAAACAGAACTTTAGAACAAATTCACCTTTCTTGTTTACACTATGTAAGATTTTATGGTCGACAGAAGTTTTAGAGTCAAAAAGTTTGTCTCGAATATAGATAGCGAAATCGCTAGACATTTTCTAAAAGATAAAATTTTAATTTTTCTCTAAAAATATGTTAGAAAAAAAGTTTGCTGACATTGACAAGAAATTTTGAGAATGTTTTAAATAAGAACAAGAGGAAGTTAGAAAATGCTCAGATAAAGCCTATACATGACAAGTTCTTATTTGCTCAGAATGGTATAACAGGTCTAATCGACCACCTGGGTCGGGCAAGACTTTCAACTTATCTTAAAATGGCTGCACAACAACAAGAACTAGATGAGAAGAACCATTCTATGAGTTAGTAGTCATTTGTAGTACTTCTGGTCAATTTGACCAAACCGTCAATTCGTTCAAAGATATTATAAAAAAGTCTAAGTTAGTATGTATAAAAGACTCTGAGTTGTTAGATTGGATAAAGAAGTACCAAAGAAGAGTTTTGAAGTACAATGCTATAAATGAGTATATAAATTCGAAGTTTAAAGACCCTAATGAGGAAATGCAGAGAATATTAGAGAAGAAACACTTTTCAGAACAAACAGAAAGAGATAGAATACATTTCGAAAGAAATTGCAATCTTACGATTGGAAAACGTACCCTCATAGATGTCTTCTTATCTTAGATGATTTCGCTCTCATCCTTTGTTAAAGAACAGAGAACAAGATATGTGTCGAATTCTAAGAAGCTCAGACACTTTAACATCTCAGTCGTATATGTGTACAGACAGCAAAGAGTTTAAGTAAGGATGTTAAAAGAATACTTACTGATATCATACTTTTCCCTGGATTGTCCGAAGACGATTTCATGGAACTTATGAAAGAGTCCATGGCAGGTAAGTTTGACAGACATGAACTATGGGAGAAGTACAAAGTCATACAAGACCCTCATACTTCTTTCAGAATTCATATCTACGCAAACAAAGTTCAAATTGTAAAAAGTCAAGCTTGAAAAATAAATGTTTAGTCTTAGTCTGTTGTGGTGCTGGGGCTGTCGGTTCTTCTGGCTTTGGAATGGACTCGGTTGGTGGTACGTGGGACATTCGTTTGTGTCCTGTCGGAAGGAAGAACTTTTCCTGTTGGAAGGAAAAACTTTTCCTGTTGGAAGGAAGGACTCGGAATGTCGGAAGGAAATTTTTTTCCAGTTGTCGGGAAATTTTTTTCCAGTTGTCGGGAAAAATTTTTCCAGTTGTCGGGAAAAAAGTTCTCAATTTTCGAAAATTTGAATGGTTTACGGACGGACAACAGGAAAATTTTTTCCAGTTGTCGGGAAAATTTTTTCTTGTCGGATGGAAAAACTTTTTCTGTCGGAAGGAAGAACTTTTCTTGTCGGATGGAAGGACTCGGAATGCCAGAAGGATTTGACAAGGCAATTTACTTTATAGAGCTACCTGAGCCATCTGAAGTCAAGCGTAAAAATAAATGGTTCATCTACCCTACTTGTTTGAAGTTGTCAAAATACTCTGTTATTTTTTCCTTTAACAATGGCAAATCTTCTTTGAAGGTAAGTATTGTACAACCTTTCATATCATAGTGTGTTTGAGGTAACGTATCTTGAACTATTTGTTTCACATCTTCATTTGGGGTCATTGAAATCGGTAAGTTTTTCGCGATAGAACCAATTTCTGTCAGATTTGTAAATCTTAGCAAGGTCGTAAAAGCTTTTGTTGTTTCTTCTGACTAAATGCAACATAACATATCTTTATCTTCTTCATTTTCCATCTCTTCAGTATAAATCATATACTTATAGTTCTTTTCCTTTCCTTTTGGTACCGAACGTGGTATTCTTTTCTGAAGGCTTTTGTCTTTTGCTTCAAGCTTGTTTTCCATCTCTTCACGTTCTTGTCTATGAATTTCATCTAACATCATGAAAATATAACAAGCGTAACGAGGTGAAGCCCACATTGCAACAGCATTTACAAGAAGTCTATGTACATACCAGCCTCTCAAACCATTTGGCAAATTTTGACGATTTTCGTACGGAATCTCGACCCTCGGTTTTCCGAGGGTCGCAAACATATGAGGAAATTCTTCTAAAAGTTCTTTTGTCTGTTGGTTTTCAAACCAATGGTATGCTTGCTTTGTAGAACGAAGAGTATTCAAAATACTTTGCATTTGGTACATATCGTCTTTGACCGAACGAATGAGACGGAGTTGTTTGTTAAACTGAACCCACTCATATTCTTCACTTATAGCTTCATGAACGATAGCAGTTGTTGTGTTCTCTGTTGTTGACATATCTGTCTTTATATTCCGGATAAAAAAATAAAAAAAAATAAAACTAACTTTATTTTCTGACTTTCACAAAAGACCAAAAATAAACGCTTTACATGTATTTTTCAGCAACTTCGTCAAATAATTTTATAGCTTTATCTATCTCATCTACTTCAAACGTTTCTTTACCTTTTATGGGAGCACCATACATTTTCTCAAACTTTTCGAGTAGTTCTGTTTCAGCAGCTCTCATATCGTTAACGAACACAACCTTAACTCTATTGACTGTAGAGTCATATCTTTTAGTTATATTAAATGTTCTTCCTATCTTATATCTCTTTGTATTGAAGTCTTTCGGTTTCTGAACGATGTAAAGTAAGCCTTCACTGCAACGTTCCGTATCGAATGAACCATATGTTATGAAGTTATATCCAACAACTGGGTCTAACCATAACAAAACTATTGGTATAAGACTTTTGTCTATAAGATATGCTGTAGTTCCATGAAATCTTACCGATATCATAAGCTCAGGATTTCTTGTCAAAATTTTCTGAGATGAAGCATTTTTAACCCAGTCGTGTGGTTTCTTTCCAGATGGAGATATAATGTCTGACAAAGAATATTTGTTGTATTTCTTTGAGTATCTTACGTTTAAATCACCAATTCTAACCAATTTAGTGTTATTGTCTATCTTTTTAACTGTTTCAAACTCAGTGTTTGACATTTCCTGTTCTTACATACAAAATAAAAAAAAATATTTTAAAAAAACTAGCTTTTATTTTCTATCTTAAGGAAATTCATGATTTTCATAGAGTTTTGGCGACCCAGAAAAAAAACGGTCTCGCTGTTCTTCACTGTTTTCATAGAGTTTTGGCGACTGGGGTTTCTTACCTACTCGCTGTTCTTCACGATTTTCATACGGAATCTCTTCTCTCGGTTTTCCGAGGGAAGCAATCTTATGCCATTTTACTCAGATTTTTGGTCATTTTTCAGCAAAAATAATGTTTATGTTAGAATGTTAGATCTAACCTCTTTTCTAACCTCTTTTCTAACATGGTCTAAAACACACAAAACTCATGAAATTTTACTCAGAATTCGGCAAAAATATAATTTATGTTAGAATGTTAGATCTAACATGTTTTCTAACATGTTTTCTAACATAACTATTTACAAGCGTTTTACATGGTAAACATTGTGAATTCGTGAAATTCTAAACAATTTTGTGGCTTCGATTTCTTCACGAAGGATATCGAATGTTTTCACAATGCCGAAAGTTTCTTTATATTTCTTCTTGACATCTGAAAGAAGGAAATCGTCAGCTGTTGGATAGTTTTTGTTTAGAAATGCTAACATGTCCATTTTATCTTCTGCTGGTTTTTCTGCTTCTTTCTTTAAATCTGCATAGTCGTTTCTCATTCTTTCTATCTCTTTGACGGAGTAGTTATATTTCCTCATTGCTGCTTTACATTTAGAACATTGTGGGTTCATTTTTGCGTTATATTCTGAAACCTTACCTGCTAGTATGACTAAGGCGTCAATGGTTTTCTTTAACTCAAAAGTTGCTGGTTTTATCTGTTCATTCCATACCTTACCCCTACTATCTTTATCTCTTATTTCCCAAACACATTTTGCAACTAACGAAACAAAGTTGTCGTAGGTCTTAAACTCCCCAGATTTATATATGTCAGAGATGTTCTTATATACCATGTCGCAATCTTTGTCCATGACTTTATGGTTGCAATGAAAACCAAGGAATTCATAATTTACCTTTCGTATGAACTTCTTTATTTCTACTGAGTCAGTCAGTCCGACTTCTATTTCATCGAATTCTGGAATAGTGAGTTTTTGTTGTTGGATTTCAGGAAGTTTAGGTAAATGGTCAATAATGTCCTGCATTTCATAAAGATACTGTTCATTTGTTTCATCTTTCGCACTACAGTCTAAATTACTTGTTAAAAGTTCTTGCTTTATCTTCTGGATTTTTGTTTCGAAAGTATATGAAGAAGGAATGAAGCTTTTCATCTCTACTAACATTGAAGTTGGGTTCATGACTAACGAGTTTGGTGCTGTAGTTGCTAACATGTTCTTACAATAAAAATAAAAAAATATTTTTTTTAAAAAACTAACTTTATTTTTTATGTTTTTTGTGAAAGTGTCAAAATTCATGAATTTCGAGAGTTTTCTACGATGTTAGAAAACGTGTTAGAAAACATGTTAGATCTAACATTCTAACATAAACATTATTTTTGGGTCTTTTACGCTCATTACGAAGAAGTCTTGACAAAACATTTACGAAGAAGTCTTGACAAAACATTTACGAAGAAGTCTTGACAAAACATTTACGAAGAAGTTTCGACAAATTCGAGAGTTTTCTACGATGTTAGAAAACATGTTAGAAAACATGTTAGATCTAACATTCTAACATAAACATTATTTTTGTCGAAAAAAATGGTTCATTTACTCACAATATTTTTGTACAAAACGACCCCAAACTTTTAACTTCTTTTCTGCAGCTTCTAATGCTATCTTAGCGAGTTCATATTCTCTAAATTCTCTCTTTAAATCTTCTTGTTCCCATTGGTCTAGTTCGTATGGCGAGTCTCTATAACCAGAACATATCTCACGTTCATGTTCTATTTGTTTTTCATGCATTTTTCTAACTTCTTCTTCGAACAAAGGTTTTGCATTCTCTACTGTATCTTCAAGTTCTTCTTCATCTAATTTCTCATGAACTTTCTTGTCTATGGAGTCCATAATTTTTCCAACTGCTATGCAATATTTTGGAGAGGCCCACATTGCAATATAGTTTACGAGTCTTGGGTCTACATACGTTCCTCTAACATGTTTGATTTCATCCGGAATTCCTGCATGAACTTTGTATAAAAAGCAACCGCCGGAATTCCGGCGGTTGGTATATTCTTCACAAAATGCCTCAAAATACTCTTCCCAGGACTTATTTTCCAACAACTTTCTAAAGTCTTTCCTAAACTGCTGACACATATTTGTTGCATTTACATAACCATCCATGTCTCTACGTAAGACTTCAATACCGTTGTAAGTGCCTTTTGTGAATGTTTCGCCATTAGATTTGTTCGTGAACGTTTTTGCTTCGACTGACATTTCTGTTCTTACAATAAAAATAAAAAATATTTTTTGGTGGGACGTCGGACATTCGTTTGTGGCTTAACCGTCGGACATCCGTTTGTGGCTTAACCGTCGGACATCCGTTTGTGGCTCGACCTCAAAACAAGCATTTTGTGAAGAATATACCAACCGTCGGAATTCCGGCGGTTGCTTTTTTTATACAAAATTCATGAGTTTTGTGTGTTTTCTACGATGTTGTCAAAATGTCATGTTGTCACACTTTTTCAGAGAAGTTAAAATGACCGAGGCACATAGGCACATAGGCACACCTAAAAAACATCTACCCTAAACATTATTTTTCAATACTTTTTCAGCACTTTTCCGTAGTTGTATATGAAAGACAATTCGAGATAAAAGTCATAGTACAATGGAATAATATGTTGCACACCGTTTGTTGTGAACCAGACTTGAAAGTCAGAGAAACTGTTACTAGGTGGTTCGTAGAATTTAGAAGCAAAGTCATAAAAGTCCTTACCAATACATAGAAAACTATTGTTGCTTGAACTGAAACTTGCATGACACATAACATTTTGAGGGTCAAACACGTTTCTATAAACTGTCAAATCTGTTGGTGGGCGTATAAATTTAAACGGACCGTCAGGTGGTAATGGTTCGTTCTGGTTTAGTAACCGAAGAAATTGTGCCCAAGAACGTTTGTCTACTTCCCAAAATAAAAACTGTGTATCTCTTGGAGGGTTATTTTCAATCCTTTGAAATGAAACTGTGGAGTTCATCTTGTCATATTCTAGTTTCAGATAGTATGTTCCATTTAGTAAAGAATCGTATTTTTCTTGAAATTCCCAGTAGTATTTGTTTATTTGAGTTTGAAAGTCATTTAGAGTCTTCTCAAGGTTTTCGTCTGAACGAATTGTAAAGATTCTCATTTCATCAAATTTGTCTATTAGACCATCAGGACCTCTATACTGCCCATGAAAATATACTGCGAACATAAAAGCGTTCGTTCTATTTGAAAACAAAACTCTTCTAAATCCTATTGCCTTTGCATCTGAAGGACTTTGAAGCCAACGAATTGGAAAGTCAAACCTGTATGAACGGGATGAAATTTCTTCATCTGAAATATTTCTACCGGCATTTGTAAAGATATAGTCTAACGGTTTTGTATCTGCTACTTTTGTTCTTTGTTTTTCAACCTGAAACATTTAATATATGTAAAAATATATGGTTTTAAAAAACGTTTTAAAATGGTATGCCATATAGCTTCTTGAATTTGTTAAGACGTATTTGAACGCGTTTTCCATCTGTATCTCTAGTGTTTACATAAGCACAGCCTGCCTTAGTAAAACATACTTGTAATTTTCTATAGTTTACGCCGGTATAAAGGTAGAAAGAGTCCTGTTCTTCGCTATAGTAGTAAAACTCAAACGTATGCTTACCATAGTCTGTAATTTCAATTGCTTCATCTTCTAGTTCGTCGACAAATTCGAATACAATATCTCTAAATTTGCCTATGTTCTTACTGTTTTCAGAACAAGTGACCCAACGTAAGTTTTCAAGTCTATTGTCGTTTCTTATATGGTTTATGTGGTCTACAAAAGGTAGATTGTTAGGGTTTGGTATAAAATGAGTTGCAATGACAACATGTTTAAAATAGTGTTTTCCACCAATCCTCATCCTAGCATATCCGTCATTTTGCTCCCATTCGCTTAAAACTCTTTTTGTCTTTTTGTTTCTGACTTCAAATGACTCACAACAGTGAATTTCATATTTCTCATCTAACAAACAAGTTTCCCAACGGTCTTTTCCAACAAACTCGGCGTACATTTCAAATAAAATAAAAAAATATATTTTAAAAAATATATGTTTTAAAATGGTATGCCATTTCATATTTCTCATCTAACTCTGCTTTTACTCTAGCAGATTTTCTATCCATTCTATACGGGGGCATTTTTATAAAAATAAAAAAATGTTTTTTCTTTACTTTACGTAACCACCCGCTGCCAAAAGTCTTTGACGCCAACCCATACCAGCTAATGAAGGTTGACTTGGTTTAGTATTGAAACTAAACTTTGGTTTTGGTTTATCTTCAGTTTTTGGCTCACCTTCTTCTATCGGTTTTTCGTCACTTTTCGGTTCCTCTGACTTTACCTCACTTGCAGGTATGGTTGTGTCGTTAACATCTTCGTAAATATCATATGCCATCTGTTTTTGTTTTCCTTTCAACTTTTTGTGTTTGTTGTAAAGTTTAGAATATTTCGACTCTAAGTCAATGAGATGTTCTATAATGAACTGTTCGTCGGTAAAATATACTTTTCCATCTGTTGTCTCGAAAGCTCCTTCAGACTTCAATATTTTATTTGTGAGAGTCTGTTTCTTTTTTGAGATACTAGCCGTTCCATTTCTATGAAAAGTGACTTTGTAGTTAGGGTTTGTATTTCCAGACCTCACACTTTCTATTATTGAATTTTTCTCTTCATCTGTAAGTTCTTTGACAGGTTTTGACAATGGTTCTGAACTTTTTGTTTGTGGTGTCAAATCTACGGTTTCAACTTCTTCCGTCATTTCATCTCAGTAAAAAATTTTAGTTTGGTTTGTTTTCAACTGGTTGTTGTTGTTTTTTAAGTCGGTCTAAAACTTCTTGAGGTATAGGAAGAACTTGACAAACACGTTGTGTAACTGCTGGAAGTCGACAAATCCATCTTGAACCCATTTGTCTCAATGCTGTATTGTTCATTTCATCTCAGTAAAAAAATTTACATTCCCCAAGTTTGAGGCGGTTGAGGTTGGTTATTGTTTACCCATTGTTGTGCATGGTTATATCCTCTGTTAAAGAATCTTTCACCTTGGTCCATGTAGTGTCCTGCTTGGTTATAGTAGTCATTTGCTTTGTTATAGTAGTTTCCTGCTTGTCTGGAAACATTGTCCATCCATCCTTGAACTTTTCCTCTTGTTTCAGGATTTGGAATAAGATTTGCTGCATCTCGTGCTACATCCCAACCTTTCTGTACAGTTTGTATAATAGGCTGTGCTTTCTCTTTCAGTATACCTAATGTACTCAAAATCTTCCTTCCAACTCCAAATACACCTCTGGCTATTGTTCCCACTGCGGGCAAAAATCTGGATGCAACTCCTGCTAATGCGCCAAATAAACCCATTTCTTATGGGTTAAAAAATGACGAATCCAAACAAGGACCCCTATGTTTCTAAAGCGACAAAGAAAGCACTCATGATAAAAATCTTTAGTTCAACACCAAATGCTTGGTTTATGGATATCTTGGAAAACATTCCGAGGTATAGAGAAGATGGACCACCATACTGGCTAATATTTGTCGGTCAAAACACAAGATACTGTGAAGCTATACCATTACAGTCCAAAAATATTTTAGATGTGAAAACTGCTTTGACAATATTTGTTGACAAATACCATCCAACAAAACTGACATCTGACTGTGAACGTTCTTTCAAATCAGACGATATTAAAAACTATCTGCGTTCAAAAAATGTAAACCAATATTTCATTGTCGACCAAAACCATTCTGCTCTTGGTGTCATTGACAGTTGTATAAAAATCTTAAGAGACTTAAACCAACCACAAGGTGGTGAGGTAGATGAAATGTCATATGACGACAAGTATAGACACTTCTCCATGGCAAAGATGAGACAAGTTTTAAATATTTACAATACCCGTAAACAAAAAGGTTTGGGAAACCACTCCCCCGAAGAAATGAAAAACAACCCCGACTTAGAGAAAGACTATATATTTAATAGTTTAGTCAAAAGAGACAAACAAGAAAGAATGCCAGGCTTCAAACTTAAGAAAGGTGACAAAGTAAAAATAGAAATACCTAAACGCGACCCATATGAAAATACTATTGACTATGACAACAATGGGAACCCGACAGGTACTCACATTCGTGTTCGTAAAAATAGAAGAAAGTATACAAGAGAATATTATGAAGTTTTAGGCAAACATGGCAAAATGTACACACTGCAAGCAGAAGATAAAACTACTATTGTCAGACCTCGTTTCAAACTTGTCAAAGTTCAAGGTGGTATACTTTCAAAGACAGTTCCTAACAAATATAAGACAACTCCTGACGAATATGCTAAAGAAGTTGAAAATGACGACTAAGCAATTCTATACCATGCGTAAACTGTCATGTAAGGTGGCATGTAGTCTTTACTTTGTCCCGTTGTTTGTGTATATCCTGTAACGCGATGTGTATGGTTTCCATCTCCCTGAGTGTCACTCCAGTAACAATTTATAGCAAACTGAACGTCGTCTTTAACATCATATCCTTTACCTTTTTTCAAGGCGTGCCAATCCCAAAATTTATGCTTATGCCAACCTGCTTGAGATGTACTTAAATCTATGTAGTGACTGTGTGCAGGTAAATTTTCACCTGAAATCGTTTTACTTCCACCTGTTTCCTTTGAAGAGTTTGCACAATACAAAAACCTGTCAACTATTTGAGTCCAAGTTCCAAAACCAAGTACTACTTCTGGTCTGGTAGAGTTCATTGACGTATAAATAGAGCCTATAGGATATAATGTTTGAAGTATTTCTGTCTTTAATGTTTGAAGCTCTGTTTTGTCTGCTTTTTTATCTAACTCATCGTTAACATATGTTTTGTCAGCTTTTTTATCTAACTCATCGTTAACATATGTTTTGTCAGCTTTGTTGTCATATAAATCTTGAGCAGTGAATTTAACTTTGTTTTCATCCTCCATGACATAGACATTTCTACATCTAGTGTATTTCATCGTCGTTATGTCATCCTCCGATGTTAAACCTTGTGGAAAGTTAGGAGGTTTCCAATACAATGCATCCCCACCAGTTCCATCAGGTTCTTCAACCGTTCCTGCAATATTTTCTATACCAACAGTTGCGAAGAAATCGTGTGTATGAGTCTTTTTAGAATATTCTTTGTCAGCTCTTGTCACTTCACTTGACATTTTATTGTCAACATATGTTTTATCTGCTTTGTCATCTAACATTGCTGGTAGTTCATCTACGTCATAGATGTTATGTGTATGATGTTTTTGTGGGTATGTTCTATCTGTCCATGCGAGAATATAGTCTCTTGTTGCATCTACATACTCTTTGTCAGCTTTGTTGTCAACATCTGCTTTCAAAAGAAGTTCAGATATAGGTTTCTCGTTTAAAGTTCCTTTTGTTGGATTTATACAAACAGTATGGTTCTTACTGTCTTGAAACAGAAACTCGTCTGTCAATGGGTTTATCGTCAGTTTTAAGTTTCCTTCTTTCAATGACTCAGATATCTTAGAATAGTTTGAAAAGTTTGTTGTGTTCTTATTTAGAGCTTGCACAATGAGTTGTCGGTTGTGTTGTATTTCTCTCATAGACGCTGTTTCTTTCGACATTTTTATTCTAGATAAAATATGCTTCCAATAGAAAAAGAAAATTCAAGAGTTGCTACGACTAAACCATTAGATGAACTTTTTACGAATGTCGGTCAAAAGTTTGAGACAGAGACCGTAAAGCATGAAGGCTATCGTTTTGACTACCCACTAAGATGGTTAAGAGACCCATCCGTCACAAAAGCTATTGGCTTTCGTAGAATGAAGTTCATTTCAGAAGCCATACATGGTTTCCCATTTACGGTCGCTTTTGAAGTTCGATACTATAACAAAGAAAACGTACGTATGAGAAATTTGAACAGGGAAAACTTTTACAAGTGAATTTGCTTGTAAACTTAGAAACAACTCTTCAAGCTTTTCAAGAAAAAATAAACGATATCTATCTCGAATATGCAAAACAGTACAACATTGACGAAGGAGAGTACCATCTCGATATTGTTTATGACAGGAAAAATGCAACTGTTAAAATCAATAGAATAGAAGACCTTGGAGAAGACGTTTATATTTCTACAAAATATAACAACTTGGCATGGTATAGATTTTTGAGGATGTTAAATCAGCCTGCAGAATATCCAGTACACCCGAACTTTTATGAAGTCGAAAACCCTAATGGAACATATGAAAATGTTTTCGACTCAGATGCTATTATAGTTCATGCTTCATTTTCTGGTGCACAAAACTCTTTTTTATGCTTGGCAAATGACTTTTACGAAAAACCTACAAAGCTATATGAACCACCGAGTGGAAGTATTTCGGATTTTCAAGTATGGTTTACTACAGATGGAAGAAAGAGAATAATTCCATTATACCATGCGTTTTACTTAGAACTTAGTTTCATATACAACTACTATCGAACGGTAAAAATATAATTTTAATACGGTTGAGGTGTTGGATTTGGTTGCCAACTAGACTGTGGTGCAGGTTCAGGCTGTTGTATAACAGGAGCTTGTTCTTCTGGTTCAGGGTCTTTAGGTATAATACCAACGAACTGACCTACTCTTTTACCAATATTTTTGACACCGTTCCAAATTCCTCTTCCTACGGTTTTTATTCCATTCCATATACCTCTTCCAACATTTCGAAAGAAGTTTCCTATCTTACTGAAGAAACCCATTTTACTATATGTAAAAATCTAATGTCCACCTAGTCTCTTACGTTTCCTGTTGAGTTCCATAGCATTCTTTAACTGGAGCTCATACATTCTATTTCTCCTCTGGTAGAAAACATATTCTGGGTCAACTCCTGTGTTCGCGTCATCTGCATAAAGTTGTTTATATCCCACTTCAGGGTTTGTATAAAACTCTTTCCATCTCATATTTGCATACCATGGTGGCAAACCTAACGCAGCGTCATTTGACATGGCAGTTTGCATTTGTACATCTGTTGGCACTTGACCATAGTTTGCCATTGCAGTTTGTATTCTAACTTCATTTGGAATATTCTCTGGGTTTGGTTGTCCAGGTTGCTGTGCATTCGCTAAGTTCTGTGCGTCCATTTAATATTAGATAAAAATATCTCTTACGAGTACATATACTGGACATTTGCAGGCATTGGTTCATCTTCATATTCTCTATATCTTTCTGCCACGTCAAATAAGTAAATGACACAATGGAAAAAACCTAAAACAAGTAGTCCTATTTCAAACCACATTTACTTACCAATAAAATTTCTTTGTCAAGACTTCTTCATAAAGACTTTGTTGAGATTTCTTCATCGTAATGAGTGTAAATGACCCAAAAATAATGTTTATGTTAGAATGTTAGATCTAACATGTTTTCTAACATGTTTTCTAACATGGTCTAAAACATACAAAACTCATGAAATTTCATACGGAATTCAATAAAAATAATGTTTATGTTAGAATGTTAGATCTAACCTCTTTTCTAACATGTTTTCTAACATGGTCTAAAACATACAAAACTCATGAAATTTCATACGGAATTCAGCAAAAATATATTTTATGTTAGATCTAACATTCTAACATAAACATTATTTTTGTCTGATTTTACGAAGAAGTCTTGACAAAACATTTACGATGAAGAAGTCTTGACAAAACATTTACGAAGAAGTCTTGACAAAACATTTACGATGAAGAAGTCTTGACAAAACATTTACGATGAAATCATGAGTTTTCTACGATGTTAGAAAACATGTTAGAAAACGTGTTAGATCTAACATTCTAACATAAACATTATTTTTGGGTCATTTACGCTCATTACGAAGAAGTCTTGACAAAACATTTACGATGAAATCATGAGTTTTCTACGATGTTAGAAAACATGTTAGAAAACGTGTTAGATCTAACATTCTAACATAAACATTATTTTTGTCTGATTTTACGAAGAAGTCTTGACAAAACATTTACGATGAAGAAGTCTTGACAAAACATTTACGAAGAAGTCTTGACAAAACATTTACGATGAAATCATGACAAAACATTTACGAAGAAGTCTTGACAAAACATTTACGAAGAAGAAGTCTTGACAAAACATTTACGAAGAAGAAGTCTTGACAAAACATTTACGATGAAATCATGACAAAACATGAAAACATATATAATTTGTGAAAAGCTCCTGGAAGACCCGTATATATAAAAACTTCATTATACTCATTCATCCTCAGGGCTAGAAGGCACGAAGTGCCTGGAAGCCCCGCTACCTTTTTTTTTTTTTTTTTTTTTTTTTTTTTTTTTTTTTTTTTTTTTTTTTGAATTACTAGATACTAACTACGTAACAGAGCCCTTTTTTAAATAAAATGCTTCAATTTTGAGATATGAAGAAAAAAAGGCTTCCTAGAATTACTGAGATTTTTTTGAAAAAATCTGATTTTAGTTATGTTATATCTATGGTATATCAGTGCTGATTATTTACTCAGATTTGAAAAAAAAAGTCGAAAAATCATGCAGGGACTGTCATTTGTTTAAGCCTAATTTTTATTAAATAATAATAACAATATTATAAGGAGTATATTTGGAATTCTTCCTTCAAATGACTTTTGAGAAAACTGTTCTCAAAAAAATTTGAATTAAACTTCGTAATATTGCTTATTATTGCATATTATGCATAATTGCAATTATTAAAATTGTTGATATAACTCTTTCAATAATTAAGATATCAATGGTTTTGCAGCGCCATAAGCAACACCATATTGTGTGCAATAGTGTAACAGAGAGCTTTTTTTTGATTTTGTTTTTTGGAATATATCGAATTTTGTAAAGTTGTAATATCGATCTTAGATCAACGTGAATGTATTTAAAATTTCACACATTAGTTGGGCTTGTGTAAAATTTTGCATTTAATATTTTGTATAATGAAATTTGGAAAAAATTATCCTCTTTTGTAGAGACTCTCGTATTTTCCTTGTTATGATGATGTTTATTTTGATGATTTGAGGATGTAGATTAAAACATTTTAAGAATCTTTTTGAAATTTCGAGAATGAATATAAGAATATTGACAAAAACTAGGAATTCAAGCATGTGGTGTAATGTACAGCTGATTTCCAGGCAAATGGGAGATTTTCAAGTTTCCAAAAAAATCTTAAAAATCAAAATCTGTCCTAAACTTCATCATTTTTTAGTGACATTTTTTATACTTATTTTTTTAAAATTTTTTTCCTGCATTTGATGTTGAATCTATATTATTTCATAATACAAACTCATTAGGAAGATTTTAGAGCGGCAAAATTGTGTATTAATTAATATGTATATGTATTCATAAAAATATTCATAAATCTGAAAAATGAAGATTCAATAAATTCAAAATGACATTTTTCTTATAATTTCCTCACTATTCACAAAGGCAAGTAAAGTTATTAACTTGTTTGCCTTTTCTTCTAGATGGCAAATAATTTAGATTAAAAATTGATTTTGATTCTAAAATTATACGGTAATTTTAGATACCCCAATCAATATGTCGATAAGAAATCATTTTCTCTGTTGCATATTCTTATTTTTCAATTGTGGATAAGCTATTCATTGAAGTTTGAATAATTCTCAAACATATTCCAATAAGCACATTAATTTTAGAATATAGTAACAATTCATGAATGACCTATCGGTAAGATGCTTGATTGCGGTGCACCTAATTTAAAATGATAATTTTGCTTATGTTGCAAAATCAAAAAAATATATCGTTCCGAAGCCTATTACAGGTATATACCATGTTTCTGATCTCACATATTATTCTCAACTAATATGAAATAATTTCAATTTATAAGTCAATATCCAAGCCTATAATTTTGGGAAATATATTTATTTCACATGAAGATATTATTTCTATTATTTAAATAGAAAAATAAAATAGCAGGAGAGCCTTAACTCAAAAGTAGATTTACAAATGTCAAAAAATTGAATAGTGTCACTTTTGACGAATTTTTGAATATAACACAGTATCACTCTTTGGTCGGAGAGAAGCCTTAAAATTTCAAAATACCATGGTTTTAGATGATTTTCGCGAAAAATGAAATAATAAATACTCCTCATAATATAATGGTTTATTATCTTTCATCAACTCCAAAAAATGTTCAGCAGATATCGAGAAAAAGTACATTACAAATTGAGACTGTCAAAAAATTCTGAAGTTTACTTACGGACTACAGCGCACACTTTAAGTTCGTTATTTTGGATGGAGAAATCCGTTTTATCACTTGAAGAATTCGGGAAAATAGCTGATAAGCCAGAAGAGGCATACAAAGTCGTTGGCGACAAAGCTCTCAAGCTTATTCAAGCTCAAAGACGTGGTGCACTGATTCCAAACGGATTTATTGTAACAAATACTGCCTATCAACAGTTCATGCAAAGTGGAGCAAGAAGAATTACCAGAAAATGTCTGGGATGAAGTTCTTTCCTACATTAAATTGATTGAACAGAAGACAAGCAAAAGATTTGGCTTAAATATTTCACCGATTCTTCTTTCAATTCGCTCTGATAGCAATCCATCATTACCTCTCATGCTTGATTCAATCGTCAACATTGGCCTGAATGATGTCACCGCAATTGCTCTAGAACGTTTGTCTGGTAACAAATCATACGTTTACAGCTCATATTGCGATTTTATCCAATCCTTCTCAACAGTTGCTCTTAACATTGATCCTCACGAGTTTGACGAAATGTTCCAAAAATTCTCAGAATCAAGAAACTTATCGAATACCAATGAATTCAATTCTATCGATTGGATTGATTTAACTAGACTTTACAAGTCAATAGTCGTCCGCCACACAGGAAAAACAATTCCACAAGATCCATTCGAACAATTAAAGCACTCTCTTAAGGCTGTATATCAGAAAATGAATAGTAAGAAGGTTCAAAACTACATTGACTATCACAAATACAAAAACGTCAACTTTTCTTTAATCATTTCACAAATGATTCCCGGAAATATCACTCCACAGTCGTGTGCAGGTATTATATCCACTCATGATCCAATTACAGGCGAACTTACCAACTCAGGAGACTATATTGTCGATGGAACTCTCTTAGATATCATCAAACATCGCGGTCATATGCATCCAATCCAGAATTTGTCACGTCAGATACCAGATGTCAAGAACAAATTGTTCCCAATCTTCACATCTATTGCAGAAAAGTTCGGATCACCAGTTACACTCGAATTTATTTATGATGGCCAACAAGTTTACATTTTGCAGGTTTCTCCTTTAGTTTTCAGCTACAATGGGCTTATGAGATCCGTTGTTCTCTCGAAAAACAAAGGAAAAACACTGAAAGAAGGACTTTCTTTTGTCCAAATCGAAGACATTACTTCTGCAAATCTTCCTGACCTCCAGGATGTATCTGAGCAGCCATTTGCTTCAGGTATCGCTTCAGGACACGGTGCTGTTGTTGGCAAAGCTGTCTTTTGCACAGAAGAATGCGTAAAAAGAGCTAAAAACGGCGAAAAAATCGTTTTATTCAGAAAATCATTGCAACCATCTGATTTCGCTGCAATCTCTGCTGCTTCAGCAATTGTTACAGCGTCAGGCAATCTATACACAGCATCAACATTGATCTGCAGGATGTTGAGAAAGACAACAGCAATTGGTTGCCAAATAAATATAGATGAAAAAGAACAAAAAGTGACAGTTGATGACAAAACCGTCAACAAAGATGATATTGTTTCTATTGACAGTAATGGTAAGGTATACATTGGAGAGCAAGCTCTTGGTAATCCAGGAATTACAGGCGATGCACAACAAGTTTGTGAATGGGCAGATTCAGTTCGTGGAAATCTTAAAATCATTTCTCAAGCGAAATCAGCTGAAGAAGTCACTAAATCAGTTGAAAATGGTGCAGAAGGATTCGCTCCAATTGCCCTGGATGACTTATTGCATGATGTATTACCTGAAATCGCATTGGGATTGCTAAAAGACCACGAGAACCAAGAAATTCTTCAAAAATTGGAGACTTCTATTTCTGAAAATTTGACACAAATTTTGGCTGCTGCAAAAGGATTGGATATTACAGTCAAATTACTCGATAAACCATTATCCGTTTGGCTTCCTGATCTCACTAAATCAGTCCAGGAATTGTCCAGACTCAAAGTCATCAAAGAAAACTCTGGAAACGAAAATCCAAACACATCGACAGAAGTTTCTCAGTCTCAAACAGAAACAGAGAAATCTGAGACAGAAACAGAATCAGAAAAGACGCAGGAAAGCGAGGCGCCAGAACCACCAAAAGAAACAACAGAACAACCCAAAGAAGGCGAAGAGGCTCCAAAAGAAAATACAAAGATCGAATTTTCAGAAGAAAACGAACAAGAACTCCAAAGGTTGACTGAAATTGTCGATATTACAAAGAAGCATAAAGAATCCAATCCATTGATGGGCGTGTGCGGCATAAGAATGAACTTAGTAACACCACATTTGTTGGAAACATCAATGAATGCTATTGTTTCTGCTTGCACTAATTCATCAATTGAAAACATTTCAATTTTGTTGCCAAATGTCACATTAAAACAAGAAGTGTTAAAAGCAACAGAATTGGTTCAGAAAGCCCTTGAAGGAAAGAACTTACATGCAAAAATTGGTGCTGAATTGGGAACTCCTCGAGGATGTTTAGTCACAAAGGAATTGGCCGAAGTTTGCGATTTCTTGACGATCGATTACAACAAATTAGGAATGATTTTGTATGGTATGTGCACCGCAGACTTGGAATCATTCATTCCTCAGTATGAGAAGCTTAATATATTCAAGGATCCATCAAAGAACTTTGATAAAGAAGCTGCTTATGATTTGATTAAGAAAGCAATCAACGAAGCAACTCAAACAAAGAATGATTTGGAGTTTTACATCTATGGCGATAGCTTATCAAGTGATGTCGCTCCTCTATTATGTGAAGCAGGTGTTACTAAGATTATGTCTAAACCAGAAGATGTTGTTCTCACGAAATTCGCGGCTGCACTTCATATCCTCAAAACTCAACAATAAATAAATCAGTTTTAACTTTTTTTAATATGAATTACAACACGCTATTAATAGCTGGTTATAATAACAGAGCCTGAAAAACAATAATTAAATTCTCTATATTTTATATTCCTCCACTTTTTAGCAATGTTTTAACAGGAAAAATTATAATGATAATCACAAAGCTAAAAAACATTTTATTAAAAATATTAAAAAATTGTTAATTATTTCTCTGGTTTTGAATCTGGATTGTGACTTTGCAGTGGATTTGTAGATTCTTCTACTGACTCTTTGTCATTGTGCTCATCTCCTCCTTCTTCTTTTTCTTTCGGCGATAAATCTTCTTGTTTATTTTCATTCTCTTCTTGAGAATCTTCATTAGATTGATCAATATTTTCTTCTGTATGTTCTTCATTTATTTCTCTATTTTGTTCTTCCTCATCTTCCTCTTCGTTCTTTTTTTGCGAATCTGGACTAAATATTTCTTCACGAAGTTGATCAACATCAACAATTCCATCTGTGTATCCAATGTCTTTCATTCTGTAATTGAGTTCTTCAATTCTATGCAAAAGGAAGTCAAGATGAGCTTTGTATTTGATTGGATGTCTTTGAAGTTTCTCTTCTGAGATTTGTATGGCCAACTTTGTTTCGATACCATTTGTAAGTGTTTTACGTTGATCTTTTGCCTCCTTTGTGTTAAGAGGGTTTCGCGATGGAGTCATTGAGTCAATTTCATTCTTAGCTTGAATAACTCTTTGGCGTAAATAGTTTCTCTTCTTGAGAGCTTTATCGTACTGGAACTCTAAATCAACTGCTCGACGGTAACGGTTTGAAGTTACAATTAAAGCAGCTTGATTTCTGCATTGGTCACCAGTACTAAGTGCGTTTAAGTAACTCCTTTGGTACCTTTGCTTCTCGAGCAAGTAATATGCCTTTTCTTTTTGTAATGAAGCAGTAACGGCTGGTTGCGCCTGAGATGTATATTTTTGTAACTCTAGATCTGCTTCCTCTGTCTTATTCTGTAATTCTTCAAGTTCTTTCTTCAGTTGTATTTCCTCTGTTGCACCTTGAGTATCAGAATCCATGAAACTAGCAAGTGCATTTGAATAACCTTCTCTTTCCATAAGTGTACTACGTGCGCGTGCAAGTTCTTCTTCGGCAGATTTCAAATCGTCTTCAGCTTTTGCTCTATCAAGAAATAACTTTGAATATTCTGCTTCAAGATATTCCTTTTCTTTTAATTCATTACCACCTCTCCAATAAAATATCGGCATTTGATGTTGCGATGGAGGACGCTTAGCAAACGGCATTTTTTTCGTCATTCAACTAAAATTTTTACGTTTTTTCACTTTTCGATCAATGTCACTTTTTGGAATTCAGAGAGAGAAATCACATCCTTATAAAGAAGTACTCCAGAAGTGTTTCAACCTCCAATTGAATACAAAGTAAAAAAAGTGAGTGTGGTAGAATTTACGAAAAAGTGATACCAGAAAAGTGACAGTTTGTAAACTTGCATAATTTAAATAATAACCTTAAAACTGGCTATGTTTATTGTACCAATGATTTGATAAAAAGAAAAATCATGGCGCTCGATCAAAATAATGAGAAAAATAAACATGCTAAAATTTTTTTCGAAAATTGTAATGCATGAAAATTCGGTTCACTTCATTTTTGACACTTTACATATCGGATGTATTATCTAAGAATTATATTATAAAAGTTCGTATAAAACGCAATAGAAGAATACAACACAGTATGGGTTCATACAGCTCTTAAAGATCTTTTCGGTGGAAAACCTACTCCAAAATCAATTTGGGACCAGGGTCCTAAATGGACAAAGGACTTAAACCCAAATCCTGAGTTCGAAATACAGCCTCGTAACTAAAAATAAAGTAAAAATACGAATAAACATTTTATTATAATTTAAATAATTTTTTTATTCATAAAGTAATACGATATATAGCTAAGCTATGTAAGGATATTCTGATGCTGAGAGTTTAAGAACTTTAAATTACGTATAGAAAAAAAATTCATTTAATATTTTGTAACATTTTTTAAATTGATAGATAGTTAGATTTTGTAGGGGAAGGTAAGATTCTTTGTGGTAATAATGGTCGTTGAAATTAAAATGAATGTAAGATTTGTGGAGAAATTGTATAAATTTGCATAGTGTTAGATTCAGAATAGGAGCATATGAGCCAGTGATTGTGTCTAATGTATAATTCTTACCCTTTCATTCCCTCGAGAAAGTTCAAAAACTTGGGTGCAATCAGAACTGATTGCACCCAAGTTTTTGAACTTTGTATAAGGAATTGTTGGCTATGATGTACTGATCATGAATCAGTACATCATAGCCAACAATTCCTTCGCAAACAGCGGGAAACTTTGTCTGAATAGTTTAACATTCAGACAAAGTTTCCCGCTGTCAGAGAGGGAATGGAAGGGTAAGAGGTATATATTCATAATGTATACTTCTTACCCGTCCATTCCCTCGAGAAAGTTCAAAAACTTGGGTGCAATCAGAACTGATTGCACCCAAGTTTTTGAACTTTGTATAAGGAATTGTTGGCTATGATGTACTGATCATGAATCAGTACATCATAGCCAACAATTCCTTCCCAAACAACCCGAAATTTGTCTGATTCCACACTAATTTTATTAATTTATCTAAACTTTTATCCTCGTCTACAATTTAATCATCAATAATTATCTCTTGTTCTATTTCACTATTATATATATATATATTTATATGATTTGATTTAAAAAAAATAAATAAATAAATTAATAAATCATTTACTCAAATATATCAAAAGTTTTATTTTTATATATAAAGATAACTACTTTAAAAAAAAATACCCTATATATTTTTGCCATGTAAACTATTTTTGCCATGTAAACTTGTCACTTTTGTCAGAAGTGAAGTGAACCGAATTTTCATGCACAACAATTTTTTTCGAAAATCATGTTTTTTCCGAATGTTTTTCTAAATCCATCAAAAAGTTGATATTAGACCACCAAAGCTATATATGATATGAAGATACCATATGTGATTCTAAATGATCTATATTAATCGAAAAAAAATATATTCCTGTAAAGAAAAAAATGAGTTTTTATTAATTTGGAGGATTAGCAAATCGATAGAACTCTCAGAAAAAATTGAAGACTTTTTAATCCTCGTAGTGCACCCTTAAAGTTTATTTTTTTTTAATTATTTTTTTTATTTTGTAAAGTGTCAAAAAATTTAACGTTAATTTTTAAGTTTATTTTTTAAAAATTATTTTTTATTTTGTGTAAATGTCAAAAATTTATTTTGTAAAATTGACGATAAATAATATTTTTGGTTCCGAGGGGTGTAGACCGAAACAATAAGAATTACCGAAAAAGTGACAAAACATCAAAAACAGGGAGGGGTCTCAATTTTTATTACTTATATTATTTTACAATATTTATATAAATACTCTTTATAATATATTTTACTATAAAATTATACCTCAAATTCAAATATTTAAAATATTATTTACATAATTATCTCAAAATTATATTTTTATATATTATTTTTCATATGTATAAATCATATAATCTATATCTATGCAAATCTCATCTAAATTTTTTTGAAACAAACCGCTACCATTTTATAATGGTCCATTTTAAATTCATCATAAATTCTGGTACATGTTAGTACCAGAGTCTTCAAATCTCAAACACTCTGGTACCAACATGTACCAGACGCGAGTTTCCAATGCCCTCGTACGATTTTCTATTAAGATCTTCTTGAATGAGAAGGTCTTCATAGAAACTCGTACGAGGGCTTCTCTTTTAAATACTCTGGTATCTGCTGGTATCGGAGTCGACTTTACAGCCCTTTCCCCAATTTTGAAGCTGGGGAAAGTTTTCAAGCAATGAAAGGGAAGCTCTCGCTATGAGGTGAAAATCTAGAATTTTTACCTCATAGCGAGTAATCCTTTGTTAATTGCTTGAAAACTTTCTTCAAATTATCAAAATTTCGAGGAAAGTTTCCTTGCTTCAAAGTAGAGATGGAGCCCTTTGAGCCACTGCATATAGGTCAGTGACTCAAAATACTCCATCTCTACTAGAAATCGCCAAAATTTGGGTCGCAATCTTTGAAATGCGACGCAAGTTTTGGCAATTTCGCGAGGGACTTGCTCCATTTGGTGCATAGATTCACACTCTATGCACCAGATGGAACAATTCTTTCGCTGACAGCGGGAAACTTTGTCTGAATAGTTTAACATTCAGACAAAGTTTCCCGCTGTCAGGGAGGGAATTAGAGGGTGGGAGATATATAGATAGACTATAAATCTCTCACCCTTTAATTCCCTCAAGAAAGTTCAAAAACTTGGGTGCAATCAGAACTGATTGCACCCAAGTTTTTGAATTTTGTATAAGGAATTGTTGGCTATGATGTACTGATCATGAATCAGTACATCATAGCCAACAATTCTACCTTTTAACCAAAGATAATTGATTCGTATGTAAAATATTAAGCTAAAATTTCTCTTTCTTTTAGTACACATTCTTCCATTTCGTGTACATGTATCATATATTAAGTACTAGTTATCTATTCTATATCCTTTATCCCAATTTAGATACTCAAAGATAATTCTTTTTCAGAAGAAAAAAAATATTTTCTATTAAACCGTTATTTTTTCAATGTGAGTTTTCAATTTTATTTTTCCTTTTTGCTGCTCAATGCAACATCCTCCACCCGATCCTCCATGCGAGGTTGATCAAGCCATAGGATATTTAGAATATTCTCGTTTTGTTATAGCTGCAGAGCTGCATGGTAACATAAGATTTGTCAAAGACCCACAAAAACTATCAATTGGAACAGGAGTATTAATCTACCACCGATGCGAATACGAAGGCTGCCCAGCAGGCTTTAAATTTATTAAAAATTTCGACAATTACATTTTTAAATCTGCAAACTTAACTCATATTCACTCAGGACCACCACCACAACATAAAAATACACCTACAAGTGGTACTTACCGTGCTTGGATTAAAAAATTTCTCATGAATCACGGAAGTCCACTTAATGCAACACAAGAAGTCAACAAAACGCTTGAAATACCTAAAGATCATACTTGTATTCACATGACTATGAAACAAACTGCAATCAATCAATTGAAATATTATTTACAACAAAAAGATCTTATGAGATCTTTACCAGACATATCTTTAAATCAATTTCAATCTTTACAAAACTATGTTAATCAATGGGAAGATCAACATGATGACCTTATTTATTTTGACATTCAAGGTGAAGATACTGATTTTCCAGACAAATTGGTTTTTATTTACTCTGATAATGATATGATCTCTCAAATTCATGAAAAACCACCAATTTATCACTTAGACTCTACGTTTAAATTAATTATTCATGAATTTCCTTTTTATGTATTAGCTACCAAATTTGCTAATACTCATTCTATCCCTTTGTGTTATTTTATAATATATCCAGATAATAGTGAAAATATTTCTTTTTGCTTAAGTAAATATTTTGAAACAACTCACACAGAACCTGAATTTATCATGTCTGACTGTGCACTAAACATTTTCAACGGGATTAGGAATTCATTTCCGGAGTGCAATATCTTTTGGTGCGCGCTACATGTAATACGCGCACTTAAAAAGAATCTCTCAAAGATAAATGATGAAGAGATTAGATCAGAAGTCGAAAAATTTATGAACATTTTATGTTATTATCGTGATTGCACAGAAGAAGATGCTGCAAAAATGTATAAAGAGCACATTATTGATAAAATTCAAGATCAATTGGAATTTAATCAATACTTTACACGTCAGTGGGACATTCATAAACAACAGTGGATAGCCGCTGCCAGACCAAATGAATTAACCGTTGTGAATAACGTTTCTGAATCTTTATTTAAAAAGATAAAATATCACGATTTTGGCTGCGTTAAAAATCAAAGAATTGATGTTTTTGTCAAAAATCTTTTAGAAGAAGTTGCACCCAATTACTTTTATCGTATTAAAAACGATTTACTTCAAACAGGTTTTATTCCTTCAATTAGAATTCGCGAGCCTCGATTGACAGATTATAAAACAAAATTGAAAAGAGAAGTTCAATCACGTTTATACCAAGTATTAAATTTTGTTCAGAATCAAGAAGCCAATTTGAATCCATTAAGATTTTTATTGGAAAATGCTGAAGAAAAACTTTCTCAAATAAATGAGAAGATACAAAATTCAATTACATATTTAAGATCGTTTGAAATTCCAAATGAATTGTTAGATACGTATATGTTAGAAATTAATGAATTTTGTTATAATTCTCCAGATTATATTTTAGAACATTTCGAAGAATTTTTGGAGGATTTCAAAGAAAAGAATAATTTAATAGACTTAAAAATTTATTATTTTTATTTATTGTGAATTTTAAATTGTCACTTTTTAAGTGTCACCCCCTATTGAAAGTGTCACTTTTTGGGTGTCACTTTTTCGGAAATTCTTATATACTCGGTGTAGACCCTTGGTACCAAAATTATGGATACTAACTAGGGATTGATGGTACATTTCTCCTTCTGCGTTCAAGATTTGATGACGTGTTTTACCTTGAGTTGAAGCTTTTATTCATTCTCAAAAATATGAGAGATTATAAACATTTAAATTTTATTTCTCAGTCAATACTATGCCAAAAGGATATTCAGCAATTTTTGGGGTAGGGACTTTTGGGGGAGCGACCGAAGGGAGCCCCCAAAAAAATCCCTACCCCAAAAGTGAATAACATTTTGCAAAAATGACACACAAGTTCAACAAGAATTTTCATGTTGAAAATATGTTTCTCTTAGTTATATCATGTCTACCAAGCTTTTCGATTTGTTTATGGCCATATAATGATAACATAATAAATACTAATTGTAGTATAACATCTTTATTCACAGAAATTACGGATTCTTGCGGATTTCATCAAGGAGTTCCAGAAAATGCAATAATAGATACTATGCGGATTATATGGAAAAACATTCCCGAGTCTTCAAGCGTGTTCGTATTATATGATCAATTCCAATTTTGGGATGGAACAACAAAAATTAACAATAACATTAACTTGAATAACAACAGAATATACCATCTACGGAATTGCTATGTATCTGGTTATGGTGCCGTATTTTTTGAAGATAAATTTATTAATTCCACACTTCCATATGAATCATTAAGGGCCATTTACAAACCTCTCTCTGGAAAAGTTATAGCACATCGTAATCTTGTTATAAACACTGGACATTATGCTTCAATGAATTTCGGTCATTTTCTACAAGATACAATATCACCTTTGATACAATTTCCAAAAGAAATTTTGAAGCAAGCAACCGTTTTCACTTGCAACTCACATAAATATCTAATGGATACGTATCTTCCCCTTTTTGAATTTAAAGAAGCAATTACAATGACGGGAAATGAGTGGTTATATGCAAAAGAATTATATATCAATTTAAATCCAAGGTGTCATGTTGCTCATCTCGGTCCTTGCTGGCATAAACTTACCCTTCTAATAAGGAAAAAGTTTAACTTAACGAATGCAAAGCCTTATAGGTATGTTTTATCCCAAAGAAATCATAACGGAAATAGAACAGCTCGATACATTCACAATTTGAATGATATATTTAATAGTGTTAAACGCGTTTATCCAGATATTAATTTTGAAATATTTCTCCTTGATAATAAGCCATTAAACGAAACAATAAAGGTCTGGTCAACAACAAAGATTTTATATACAGTTTGTGGTTCTAATTGTTTCAATTGCATTTTTTTCCATCCAACTACTATATGCATCATTGTGTTTGATGAGCTATTTGATAATTCAGCCCTAGCAGTGGTTGCAGCAAACTTTCATAAAGTTATTCTTTATCAAGAGCCAAGTATCAAACATATTTATTCATACAATATATTGAACATTTCAAGAGCTCTTTCAGCTTTCAAAATTGCAATACACCTGGATAAATATGGAGTTTGGCCTAATGAAACTTATGGAAAGTTCTTTATATAGTAGCCATTTTTTTACTTTAAAAAAGTGACGTGGGCAATTATGTCACGTGCTCGTTTTAATAAATTCCTTATAAAACATATCTCCTTTCTATTTTTAATAAATTTGAAATTATGTAACATTTACATCAGATATTGATTACTGATCATCATGTTAGACTTGGTTCATTCAGACTTTTTTCGTGAACCGAAATGACACGATGACGAAACCACTATACTTAGATTTGGTGACTACCTTATATAAAAACGATATGTGGTGTTTGGCCGGACGATAACCTCAAAAGATATGAATTGTGCACATGTTCGATTGTTCCGTACCGAAATGCATCACTAGAAAAGTGGCAAAAAGTGACACTTACTCTTATTTTGCGCGGCAATTTTTCTAAGTTATTTTGTTAAGCTAAATGTGTTATATATCAAATCAGCTTTATAAATATTATAGAAAAGTTTATTTTTATTTTTAATTATTATTATTATTTTTTAAATTAAAAGAAAACATTAGAATTATATGGATATATTTAAATTAATTATAAAAATAAAATTGAATATATTGAAGTTTGAGTTTATAGGTATACAAATTTTAGAGGCATTTTGGCTGAGAACTATGGTTTGCGAGGTACATAGATAGAATCAGTACCTCGCAGGCTATAGTCCCCAGCCAAAATGGCTAAAAATTGTTGTGCATGAAAAATAGTGTGACTTCACTTCTGATAAAAAGTGACACTATTTGACAGTTTTTGACATCTATTTGTCAGATTTGAAAAATGGAGAATAATGATGTAAGGTATACACTAATTAAAATTATTTGAGATTAAAATTTGAAGTGAAAATAAAATTTTTTTTTAAAAAAATCATTAATATGTGATGTTTTAAATTTGTTATTATTATTTAATATCTGAAACTATTGAATTATAACAGTTTATATGTTCTCAATTTAAAAAAATTGTGAAGAATTTATATTTTTGGAGAAGGGTGTTTAACATTTGTGAGTGAGAATGCAAGGAGAAGTTTGGTGTTTTAAGGCTAAGTTAATATAGATTTGCTATTGCTATATATGTGAATATGTTGTGTTATAATACAAGATATAAAAATATTTTATTAAAATTTTCGACGCCATATAGAGAACTATAGTCTGCGAGGTACTGATTCTATTTATGTGCCTCGCAGACCGTAGTTCTCAGCCAAAATGGCTAAAAAATGGGTGCAATGTAAAAAATTGCACCCAATTTTTAGCCATTTTGGCTAGGAATTGGAGGGTGTGAGTACTATCGTTTGTAATAGTTTCTCACACCCTCTAATTCTTCGTATATACACATTATAAAATCATTCAAAACGATACACATATTTTCTAAAAAACAATCCGAAAATTTTATTATGATAATTTATTAAACTTTAATCTAATTCTTAAACCAATTGAATATATCGAATAACACAATTAATTGAATACATATTTTGAATTTGAAAAGAAAAATTAATAAAAATAAAAAACTGAACTTTATTAAAATAAAGAAAAGTTATGAAAAGAAGTTTGAAAACAATAAAAAAATAATGTGATTCTTGATAAACGATTTTTATTTCGACAATTATTAGAAAGGATTATGATAGAGTTTGTAAAATATGTTCGATCTGTGTATGTCAAATCGTGCCAAGTTAAGTATACTAGGGACACAAATTGAGACGAGAAAAGCAAATTGAGAGGAAAAAACCTTTCAAAATGTTGTAAACTTTTGAATTTTAGCCCAAAAATCGCGTTCTTATTTTTGACCTATTCAATTAATAATTTTAGTTTAAATAAAAAATAATTGTTTAGTCTAACGACGACATTCTTTTGGAATAGGAAACAAGATGATTTAAGGGTGCACCCGTATGTACGTTTATTTGAGAGGAGGAGGATTACCCTCTCAATTTTGAGGGATTCGTTAGTTTATTTTCTCGATGAATATGCAATAAAATTTGATTTTTACCTTATCAATATACTTCATATAATGTACACATGTTCATGTAAAAACTTTTTTCCAAAATCCTCAGGAATTAAGGGATTTTTAAATTTTAAGAATTTTTTTCGAATTTTTTCGAAAAAAAAATATTTTCAGAACAGCCTTAACGGCTAAGATTTAGGAACAATGTTAAGTATCAAAAAGAAAGGAGGTCTGATATAGACAACATATATCGTTGAAGGTTGAAAAAATCTCTAATATTTGAGCCCAAAATTTCAAATTTTAATTTTTTGAAAAAAGAGGCCACCCGTATGTACGTTTATTTGAGAGGAGGAGGATTATATTTTTGAAAGGGTGAAACATTATGAATATGTTAATTATATAATAATATGTATTATTATAAAAAAGAAAAAATAAACCACGTTAAAATTTTTCTTTCTTGATTTTTTACAAAATCTACTTAGAATTATGCAAAATATGACTAAATAATTATAAATTTCAAGTTAAATTTTAATTTTGATAAATAATTTAAATTTCAAAATATCAAGTTCAGTTCGACTATGTATGTAGTAATTCCTCAATAAAGTGCCAAAACCCTATTAAAATATATGAACATTTTCAACATTTTAATGTTTTTATTTAAAAATTTGATGGAATATGAGCTTCAAACAATTATTATGTAAATAAAAATAATTAAATATATGTATTGATTCGTATTACAACCGTAGTAAGTCGATTCTTCCTTTCTTCTACTGAGGTTTGAATTTGATTTCGAATTGTAAAGAGATTCAAAGGAAAAATACTAGCGGATAAAAACTACCTCCATGAAAGGGTCATAATGGACTCAAGTTGTATTTTTTGATATTTTTTGCTTTTCGAGCCTAAATAGGTAGCCAAGATAATGCCTAAAAATAAGGTTCTAAATTCTGAAGTTTACATGATCCTCTCGTGTGCACCCTTAAAGACTTCAAATTTTTTCAGTTCGTTATTTTGGTGATACACAAATAAAATTAGAATCACCAATATATGTCTTATAGAATAAGGGTTTCGTTTTGCGAAAAAAACGTACAATACGCAATTTCGCTAAAAAAACATTTAGCTAGCAATTTCGACCTTTGACTCCACTTAAGACGTCACTTTTTTAATTTTGCGGTATCATATTTTTGGAAAATCTTTATGAATATTATATAAAAAATCTCTTTAATATCTATATTTCATATTTTTATCGATTTTTAAGGTTTTTGCGAAAAGTATTCAATTATTTTTGCTATTTGGTCGGGTAAATGTCAGATTTGCGACATTTTCTGATATGATATTCAGATTCTACGTTGATAATAATGCTTATAGAACCCTCTTGCTATTGTGTCAAAATTGCGAAACCGATAGCAAAAATATCTCGCAATATCAAAATTGAGATATTGAGTGAATTATGCATTATAGAGATTAAAAATCTGATTTGTGAAAACATCTCATCAGTTTCTAGCTAATTCAAAAATCTTTACTATCTTATTCGATTAAAATGAAAAGGGAATAGTTTCATTATGCTTTAAATGACAGCCTTATAATATAATCATAGTTTTCGCTCAATATGCAGCATTTTTTTTTCGAAATCTATGGTCAATATCCTAAATACTGATTGCTTTGCATTCATATCTCTTACATTTTCTATACCCACATCACTATTCGTTGCTATTCCTATCTTTTTCATTTTTGTTTGTTTCTCATAATTTCTCAAAAAACATGATAACTTGATATTTGTAAATATCATACTTTATAACGTAAATAAGAACTTGACCTATTAAGAAAAGCAGTAATGAAAAGAAAATCTGAAATTCATAAAAATTACAAGTTTCTGATGACAATTAGCTTAATTAAACCAGGTACAAGATTATATAATTGTATTTTCTATCCAATTATCCATATAATATCTTATCCAGAAAAAATAACTTGATCAATACCAAATGATTTTTTAACTAGTAAATAAAGTATTTTCTTTACACACACATTGTATATCATAGTTTTTTTTTGGCAAACCCAAATTTTAGCTAAAAGTGACAGGGAAAAAAACGTTTAGTATTAAAAAAAAAGACCGATGAGAGCTTCGTTCGAAATATAGAGGGAACTGAGAATGCGCAACCATTCTCAGGGAATATTGGATGCTATTCCCGTTCCCTCTGTATGGAAAATTGAGGTTTTCAAAGGGAGTTAAAATAATATCAAATTTATACTAATTTACTTCAAAATACAAAAGTATTTGACAGCTAAAATTAGTTACTTTAGCAAGCCTATCAATACCCTTTTACGATTATTGCTACTTTTTCGAAATAAAAGTAAAAACAAATTTATACTAATTTACTTCAAAATACAAAAGTATTTGACAGCTAAAATTAGTTACTTTAGCAAGCCTATCAATACCCTTTTACGATTATTGCTACTTTTTCGAAATAAAAGTAAAAACAAATTTATACTAATTTACTTCAAAATACAAAAGTATTTGACAGCTAAAATTAGTTACTTTAGCAAGCCTATCAATACCCTTTTACGATTATTGCTACTTTTTCGAAATAAAATAAATTTATTATCAAAAACCTTTTTTTTCTTAGTAAAAATAAACGAAATTTTTTACCTTATGAACTTTTGATGGAAATATGCAAATTTAAAATAATAAAGAAAGCCGCGAGCGAAGCGATCGGCTTAGTTCGAAGATTTTGATTCAAATCTTTGCTGATCTGTAATTCGCGGAAGCCGCGAGCGAATCGAGCGGCTTAGGTCTAAGATTTTGATTCAAATCTTTGCTTATATTCCTTAAATTCTTTATGAAACTCACAACAGTTCCATAAAAAATTTTAAATTCTAAACTGTCGAAATTACCGATCGGTAATCACACCCTTCATGGGTGTGTCACTTTTTGCAGGTGTGTCACTTTTAGCTAAAATTACCCCTACTTAGGGTTGTTAGATTCCCGACGATAGGTGTCTTGGAAGATTTGCCTGGTGTCATCATAGTGTCTTTAAATCAAAAATTTTATTTTGGAGTTAGTTTTATTGATTTTTCAATAAAAAACATTTCTAAAACAAGAAAATAAAACGATAAAATATTTATATTTTATATAAGGATCTTATATATTTAAAATAAATATCATTTTATTTTTTTCATTGGTGTCTGTCAAACCATAATACACTATTCAAAAATTCAATGTGTCTTGTGGTTTCAAAAGACACCTTCAAATTGAACGATAGCACAGACACTATTGAATTTTACCCATTTTATTGAGTTTTTACCCTTTTTATTTTTAAGAATTAATGACTGAAACAGCCGTTTTGCTATGACCTCAATCACTTTTATTTATTATTTTAAATATTATTTAATTTTATTATTTGAATAGGCCAACTTATATTTGAGAAGCTCAATTTGAGACCACTTAATACATTGAAATATCATAAATATTGAAATATTAAAAAGTGTATTTCAAAATATTGAAATTATAAAAATTTATAATACTGAAATTGAGACAAATTAATAAATTCAATGTGTTTTTTTTGAAATAACTCTCAAATATTATTGTTTTGTTTATTTAATGATGAATAAATATGATTGCTTTAGTCAAACATAAAACTAATTTAAGTTTAAAATAATGAAAGGATAATTTGATCGTTTTTTAAAATACAATTATTTTTGATGATTTGCAAGAATCTTTGAAAAGAATATAATATAGGTTCTGTTTTTGTAAAATTTATCCAAATCATGTATTACATAAATTACGATTAAAACGATGAAAGAACCAAAAAGTGTGTTTTGTGTTTTCTTGTTGCGTGTTGGATGCGGGATCCTGTTATTTCTGAAATCGACAAAAAATTTGGAAATTTAATTTCCGAAATCGAAATTATATTAATGTTTTTAATATTCTTATATCAAAAGTGTTGCATGCTAAGTTCGGTCAACGATAGAAATTGAGTGGAAATTAATCATCGAGGAAGTACGATTATGTAAAGTAAAAAATGTTGTGGGATTTTTAATATTATATATTATTTTATAATAAATTTTTTTGAGTCATTTTAAGAAGCACATACCGTAGGTTGAATAGCCCGAGACCAATTTCAAAGGTCGTGTACCAATAAAAAATTTTGAATCAATTTACACAACGTGCCCATTTTACTCACTCAATATTTGAGAAAATAATTCAATTTTGAGAAGAATGGTCCTCTGCGTTTTGAGTGAGTGACGAAAAAAATCTCAGAAAAATTGAATGAGTTTTTATGGCCATGAACCAAATTTGTGAAGTTCCCGTTTAAAAAAAATGCAACCAAGAACACGAATTCCCGAGTTTGCAGAATTAGAAAACTATAAAAATCTTGGGCTATTGACCCAGATGCAACTCGATTTACTCTATCGAAGAGTAAATGGCGAGTCTTATCAACAAATACGGAATGTTTACTCAATTTCAAAGACGACAGTAGCACGCGCAATCATGCGCACTGCTACTTGTCGTTCATGGACAAAAGGTCAGTCAGGGGGTGGTATGACCCATTTGTCACTACCAGATGAAATGCAGTTCAAAAAACTTGTTCAAGAGATGGCAGACGACTTGAACTGTATTACAACATCAATGGCCATTGCTGTCTGTACGGAATTACAAAATAGGAGATTAAAATTTGCGGCGCGGGTACTAATCGCTGCAAGATGCCCGCATCTTCTAGCGAAGCTCGATGATTACTGCCCATCGCCATCCCGTGGCTGGCTTAATCATATCGCCACAAGATTGTCAATTCGGATTGTGAGCTCCCAAACTATTGATATGCTCCGACGCTCTACCTGTGACGCAAACCATATTCGCCACAATCCGAATTACAATTATTTTTGGTTTTATATTTTTTGTGAGCTGCATAATGGAGTGAGGAAGCATCTTGATGAAGAGAGGAAGCACCTTGATCAAGAGAGGAAGTACTTTGAAGAAGAGAGGAATCACTTTGTTGAAGAGAGGAAGCATCTTGATCAAGAGAGGAAGCACCTTGATGAAGAGAGGAAGCTGCATGATGGATGCATGATGGAGTGAGGAAGCATCTTGATGAAGAGAGGAAGCGTAAGAACCGATAACATTTACAAAATATTAAATTTATTTTGTAAATTTTCCAAAAGCCTTAGTACCAATGTAATATAAATGCTCCAAAAATACCATCCCTCCTTCCAAAAGCGTAAGAACCGATAACATTTACAAAATATTAAATTTATTTTGTAAATTTTCCAAAAGCCTTAGTACCAATGTAATATAAATGCTCCAAAAATACCATCCCTCCTTCCAAAAGCGTAAGAACCGATAACATTTACAAAATATTAAATTTATTTTGTAAATTTTCCAAAAGCCTTAGTACCAATGTAATATAAATGCTCCAAAAATACCATCCCTCCTTCCAAAAGCGTAAGAACCGATAACATTTACAAAATATTAAATTTATTTTGTAAATTTTCCAAAAGCCTTAGTACCAATGTAATATAAATGCTCCAAAAATACCATCCCTCCTTCCAAAAGCGTAAGAACCGATAACATTTACAAAATATTAAATTTATTTTGTAAATTTTCCAAAAGCCTTAGTACCAATGTAATATAAATGCTCCAAAAATACCATCCCTCCTTCCAAAAGCGTAAGAACCGATAACATTTACAAAATATTAAATTTATTTTGTAAATTTTCCAAAAGCCTTAGTACCAATATAATATAAATGCACTAAAAACCCAAATGCCAATAGCATGTATTCAAAAAATGCAATTCAATACAAATTTGATTGCATTTTTTGAGATGGAAGTGTATCTGAATTCACAATTGTAATCCACGAATACACTTCCATCTCATTGATAAGAGGCTAATGTTTTTCTCATTAATAAGGCGCTGTTGGCCTCTATCCATAGCCGAAGTGATATTAACGTATGTTAACGTACAAAGTAAAAACATGTTTTTTCTTTTTAAAATCATTTAGTAATTAATAATATTTAGCACTCATAGTAAAAACATTAAAATTTATAAGAATCGTTATGAAGAAAAATTGAGAACTTATGATTTTTATTTAAGAAAATGATTAAATAATATATAAATAACCATATAAACAACATTTTAGATTCCTCTGAAAAGGGTATCTCAAATTGGTCTATGACCAATTGAATGGTTCGCCGGTTATTCAAGGTACGGTATAATTTTTTGAATTTAAAAATTAAAGTAGTGTCAAACGAATTTATTACTTAATTTAATACTCAGATTTCTTAAAATTAATGAAAAAAAGGTTTTGTGAGAACTTTTGAGAATGGTTTTCAAATTCCATTATTGAAAATATATAGGTATTGTATGAAATTCAAACTCTATATTTATTAAAATTCTAAATTTTTAATAAAATAACTTTTCAGAGGAATATGATTTTGAATGGTTGATTAATAAGTATAAAAATGTCTACGATTTTAAGGAGGGAATTGTTCCTTATGAGGTATACATCATAACTATATACCTCATAAGGAACAATTCCCTCTTGATAGCTGGGAAACTTTCTCTGAATAACTTATCATTTGAAGAAAGTTTCCCAGCTATCTATTAGAAACTAAAGGCTGTGAGGCACTAATATATAATCAATGCCTCATAGCCTTTAGTTTCTTATTAAAAACGAGAAAACTTGTTCGAAATGATAAACAATTTCGAACAAGTTTTCTCATTTTAAGGAGGGAATTGTTCCTTATGAGGTATATAGTTATGATGTATACCTCATAAGGAACAATTCCCTCTTGATATCCTGGATATTTTTGAATATATTTTTTAATTAAAGTTCCCAAAAGTATTATCAAAAGTGATTTTTTTAAAAATATCTCCAATTAATTAACTAATTAAAAGTATTATATTTTTAAAATTAAATAGTTTTTCAATTTTTTTGAAGGAATTGAGATACTTCCCACGACAATAAAATTGAGAGGTTTACATTATGACTGATCTTAGCATGCAACAAAAGGATTAAAGTTCATTTAGAGAAAAACAATTCTTCTTCTTCAATCTATTGGCGCATTTATTTCTACACGCCAATAAGGAAGGGAAAATTATAAGACACCATGGTGTCTTCAAAACGCTAATTTTTGATATTTTTAACAACCCTACCCCTACTCTTATATAGAATTTTATATAAAAAATGCAGTTAAAATTTTCTGAGGGCAAAACTTTTTCGCGAATATTAGAATTTCGCCAGTTTTAAAATTAAAAAATGTGCTAATGCATTGCATTAATCAATATTATAGCAACAATTTGATTAAAAATTTTCTGAGGGCAAAACTTTTCCGCGAATATTAGATTTTTGTAAGTTTTAATGTTAAAAATGAGACGATACCATGTGAGGTGAATTTTTCCCATACCACGATCGTCCTTTTGAACAGTATGCAGTGGCAAAGGTTGATATTCAGACCTGATCTTTTAGGGGCAGATGCGCTATATATGTGCGCATCTAAACGTGTAGCAATGAATGGAAAATATTTTTGGACCCAAGTTATTCACATTATAAATTTATCAAAAGTCAATATTTAGATCAAATATTCTTATGCGCATATTATATAGCCTTCATATAACAATATTATATATGTGACATATGAATATCTCACAACTTATAGTATGACATCTTATATAACTAATTCAAATATCGAAATATGAATATAAAAATTGTGTCACGATATATTATTGGTGAATTTATGAATGAGTAGAGTAGAGTGCCCCCCAAATTTGGAAATTAAAAAAGTGACTTACCCAAATTTGGAAGTACCAAAATGGGTAATTTAAGTTTTTTTGATCAATATGAGCTCTTTTTCATTATTTATAGCGTCATCATATAGCCTATACATTCACTCAATACCTCTCTGACTCTTAGCCAAAAACAGATTTTTGCACATAGTATATAACTTATATCCTTTCTCATATTTTGGAATTTGGACTTAATATCTATCAGCGCATATAGTATAATGGCACACAAATATGGCTATAGTGTGTTTTATTAGAAAGCTTACAAGAAGTTGTAATTCAATAAACTATCTAATTCACATATTTGTTTTTGAGACATATAAAGATATGTAGATTGATATTTGGTATGAGTGGGAATGTATGGTAATGTGATGAGTGGTAGGAAGTGAGAAGATAACAAAGATGATAAAGAATTTGTATCAAAAGTGGTGATTTTGGTGGGGGAGAGGTTCATGTTGTATGGCAAGAGGGTTCATTATGTTTGGATGAAAGATATTAGACAGATAGTGAATATGGAGAGAAATAGTTTGTGATTGCGGCAGAAAGACCTGGAAGGGGGTCCTTTCTCAAGGTCAGGGCCCCCTTCTAGTCTTTCTGGTGCCGGAAGGAGCGCTTCTGACCGGTCTGGGCGCTCCTCCCGGCACCATCTTTGCATTTTGCAATTGTCGCAATTCGAAACAAAGTTCGCCCGAAAGACCGGGAAAGGGTCCTTTCTCAAGGTCAGGGCCCCTTCTCGGCTTTTTGGTAATCTGGAGTCAAATATCATTTATATAATTTTTTACTTATATTTGTCACTTTTTTAAACGTAAAATGGAGTGGGTCTTCCTATCTTATCATCAACCCACTCCCGGCCCTATTTGAGTTTATGAACAAACTCAAATAGGGCCGTTAAACATAAAATTATATTACAGTGGCCGCCTATCTATTAGAGATAGGCGGCCACATTTCAACATCCTCAGAAATGCGCTAAAATTCAAAATAATGGCAGCCACATATTTATATGTGGCTGCCATTCGATATTTACATTGTTTAAAACTTGTTTTTTCAGGTAACGTCGATGAATTTTGACGTTACCTGAAAAAACAAGTTTTAAACAATGTAAATCGCAAATTTACAAATACGATCACACAAAAGTATATTATCTTTTGTTTTTGAGTCTGGCCTTCGAATCATAAATATGACCAGACTCAAAAACAAAAGATAATATACTTTATCGTTCATTCTACGAAAGACCTTCAAGGAAAGGTCTGTTTTCCTTATCTTTTGAGTGGGAGTCTCAAAACTTTTTGAAACTTCCATTCAAAAGATATGGAAAGCAGACCTTTTCTTTATTGAAATACGAAAGTCCCCCTCAATAAATTACATTACGATACATATCTTCTAAAACTTTTGTTTTATAAGATATGCCGAATCTCAAAATACAGAAGTGCACATATAAAATATACGAACTTACGATATGCATGAGATGGATAAACCATACACATGCTTCTACTCCTTTGGTTTTGAAAATTAAATAAAATTTTTCTTATATACAAATTATTACGCCATTTTACTACTATCACTCATATATACACTAGTATATAAAGTGATCTATCATTATATCACTGAACTTTAGGTTTAATAATTTTAAATAAATTCTCAAAATCCTATCCTATTTCTATATTCTGCTTCAGCGCACATAGTATATAGTATACCAAATTCATATCCTTAATATTACATTCAAATTCCAAACTTGACCAAATTATATAATATAAAATATCTTACACTTTTGATATCTGACTAAAATAAGTATCAAATATTCATATATAGGAAACATACAATTGAATACTATAATTATTCCAAAAATTGTAAGAATATGAGATTATGCAATCTTATGCAACATCAAGTTGGATTCAATCTTGATATATGTTAATGCCTAGTGGTAGTACTGATATTTCACCATAGGCATTATAGGTCTATCTATAACAGAAAAAAAGTGCCAACTCGGGGCAGTGGAAATGATTTTCCCGAGTTGGCGCTC